GTCTCCTCACCACACTCGTTTCCCGCCCGAACACCATCGTCATCGCCGGCGTACGTACTCTCTCCTTCTCCCTCCCCATCTTCTCCACCATCCCCCTCGGCCAAAACAGCAAAATCATACCTTTAAAAATCGATTCCAACTCCGAAACCGACCCCCTGGCCGCCGTCTCCGAACTCAAATCCACACACGGAATCACCAAACTCGATGTCCTCATTTCCAACGCCGGAATGATGGAATCCGATGCCATCGTCCCTGTTTTGGAATCCTCGCCGGAATCAATTAGGAGACACATTGATGTAAATACTATTGCTCCTTTATTACTCTTCCAAGCATTTCATCCGCTTCTTCTCTCTGCGGAGAATCCGCGTTTTTTTACGATTTCTTCGTTGTTGGGTTCCATTGCTGGGTGTGAGAAGGTTAGGGTACCGTTTGCGGCTTATGGGATGAGTAAAGCGGCGGTGAACTATATGGTGAGGAAGATTTCGTTTGAGGTCCCGGAGGTGACGAGTGTGGTGTTTAATCCTGGGTGGGTCAAGACGGATATGGGGAATGAAGCGGCGAGGGGAGTGGGGATGGGAGAGGCGCCTACGCCGTTTGAGGATTGTATTGGGCAGTTGGTGGGGTTGTTTGATGGGGTGAGGAAGGAACAGTCGGGGAGTTTTTTGGATGCGGCGACGGGGGAGGTTTGTGCTTGGTAGAGGAGTGTTTGAGACGGTTTTGGAGAGGTGATTTTCGGGAGTGAAATGATGAGATTAGATTTAGAATAGAATAAAGAGTACAATATATGACGCTTGTTTCCTATGTAATTTCATTCTGCAAGAATAGTTCTCTGTAATGTGCCGCGGAACGAGGTGATGCTTCGATCCTTCCTATGCTCCAACCGTAATCTAGTTCTCATTTCTCGAGATTTTTCTATGGAAAAATGATACATACCACAAGTTGATGATCTAAATAAAGAAACCCATAATAGAAGCGGCTCGCTCACCACTCTAGATCTTAGGCAAGCGGACTTCTACATTTCCGCTTTATAGTCCACTCCCAAGCTCTGCTCGGGAATGGGTTCACTACCATTGAAACAGATCCTTCCTTAGCTTTCCGTAAACTAGAAATTCAGGCCACTTCTGCTGGTTTCCAAACTCCTCTTGATAAAAGCTCTTTGGGGTGCGTTTCGAGACAGAATCATTAATCAAGAAGCAGCGCCAAAAAACCCCGTAAATAGCTGGAATATACAGTGCTATTAAGCGTGCGGATAGAATATCGAACCACGGATATCCTGAATATTGATAATTGTAATGCGGACTCAAAATAGAGACTGGGACTTTATGACGGGAATTGAAATTTTAATGGAGACAGACAGTGAGAGATGTTGAGAGACAGTAAAAATCAAGTCAAGTCGATTAATAAACACACTAACAAAACTGCATTCAAATATCTAACACTACATTAAGCGAACTTTTTTGTTGTTATTCTTCGGAGGAAAAACGAATTACGTAGAAAATAGTTGATTGGAACTGGGAGACTCTTATTGATAAGTGCTTTAGCAGGCTCATATCTAATCATTAAGGAATCTAGCTTGGGCTACTTGGCTTCTTTTAAGGTGCTCTTCCGCCATACTACTTTTGAGAATTTCCACCCCGATTCGGCTATTCATTGCAAGTCTTATGATCACAGTACAAGTCTTTCAATCGTATGATTCTATTAGAACTATGTGCTCAATCTACGGACAAAGTGAATACTCACAATCGACTACTTCATACCCCGCTTCGGGATACCATCAAGAAGTTCCAGACTCAGGGCTTATATAACTCGCCGTTGTACGAATTTCTAATCTAGTTACGACAGCTTTAACAAGAGCGTCGGCCACCCAGGATGTGTGTAACGCACTTCTTTCTGCGCGGCGGCGATAGGTTAATGTTAATCAAACCAACATCAGTATATCTGAAGCATGTATATCAAGGGAATCGGCGTGTCATCAGACGATAGTGAAAGTGGTGGCTAAATAAAAGACAATACGAATATACAAGTATAAAACGAGATTTTAAATTATTCGGCAATGAACAACCGAACTTTACTGATCAGCTGAGAATATCACACCTGATTTTTTCCTTCAGATAGGTACTGAGGAACCGATGGGCCTCCCAAGTGTACGGTCTCGAATCTAAAAGGGAATTCGCGGTGTCTTGTCGTAGACCATATGGAAGAAGCCTGCTCAATTCTTAGTGATGTATATGCAGAATTTCTTAGGGAGGAAGGTTGCGTTTTAACAGAATTCTGATGCCTCTTCAACTTAGTTGGATCTGGTGGTTACTACTCCAAATCCGGTAAATATCGGCTTTTGAAAGCGGAGTTCATCACATGTTCTTTTGCACAGGAGTGAATATATCTTCTCATTTTCTGACTTCAACAAGCTCGAGACTTCTATTTAAGATATCACCGTATACCATTCTCATATTCTTAATCAATAAATCGAGGCTTAGGTGCTCGGAACCCGATGCCCATGATTTAGAACCCTGCAAATGGCTTTTAAGCGTTAGGATAAGCATTTTTCTATTTTCTTTCCAGACACGAATCACACATCCGCGGCTCCTTCATCGAGAGAACTCAATAGCCAGTGAAACCCAGTCGAGCCGAGGGAAATGGTACTTAAAATTCTTGCCTTCTTAAACCTGCGCTATGTTTTTGTGACCACTAGAGCTATCAGAGGTTTCCAACAACGCAATGATATGGCACAACATACTTCCAGTTCAGCACAGTCATACCCAAAATCAAACAACTTATGTTTCTGGAGACTTATTTCCAAGGCAATATCTGTAGAACCATAAAATTATGACAAACAACGACAACCACAGAATGGACAGTGATTAAGTGGCAACAACATACTCCTCTGACATTCAATTTCTATCAACGCAAACGCAGCATATGGTAGATAAAGTTCGTCGGTGAGAGGTGCATTTGCTATAGAGTATCTGCAACTGGAAAATCGATAGCGATATTAGTCAGAGCTAAGTTGAATTTGACTGTTCTCCAATTATAATGAATACATTGTAGTTTTGGACCTGAAGAATAATTATCGACTGGTAAGTACACACTGGTTGTAGAAATAGCTGCGACACGATTCTTTTATGCCCCTCGATATGTGTACTACATCTTCGCCAATAATGAATTAATGCATTTCTCCATATTACACAAGCTGGCCTGCCGATTCACTCGAATCAAAGGCATTTTAACTCCCAAGTATGAGGTCAAGATAAATCGTTATGATGACTGTAGATATGAAAGCAGATGAGATGAGAAGGAGAAGAAAGAAAGTCAGAGTGCAAAAAATAAAATACGATAATGAATAAAATTCTTGGAGAATGTAACAGACCAACACCACGTTGCTCTCACTTCCATACAGCTCTCAATCAATTAAAGAGCTAGATAACATTCGTACTCCCCAAAAGTTCATTAATTCTCTAACTTTCGAAAATTCGGTATCGAAGGTTGCTAAAGACATGGTGTTGTCGATCAGTCGGCTCGAGGCATGAGATTTCCTATGGAGAATGGGAGAGACTTCTCCACAGCTTCCTATTCAACATCTCCTGGTTCAAATCTCCTGATGTCCACATTGGCTCGATTTTGTGGAGGTATATTCACCTAATTTTCTCTCGAGACGCATCCAATTGGATGAAATTGAAATCTTTGTCCAAGATCCTCGATGTAAAGGGCTTTCCAACTTTCCAACTACACTTCATTCTTTTGGATGATTAATCCAAATTATCTCGAGGAAAATTTATGTCTTTATATACTCATCATTCCCCATAACATGCATTTCTTGAGATTGGATTTGTAGGGAGGGATCTTTCAATCTTGACAATTAAGCGAGCACATAATTCAGCTTCAATTTCTCCTTCAAAATGCAGACTACAAACAAACCCAATCCTTTATCTATGGTTTCTAGTAACTTGTTGGCTCCAAATAGTAACCAGTTGGTCTGCTCACTTTTCTATAAATTGTTGGAGGTAATTTTCCAGAATATAATATTAATAATAATATTCTAGTAATAGTGGAAGACTTAGTCACTTTAGCTTGAAGGACAAATCGAATATAATATAAGAGTTGAATTGAAGACAAATTATAAGAAAGAGCTTAATTGAGCTGAATTTGCTTGCTTTTTTCTAGGTTTTCTTTAAAGAATATCCTAGGTTTATATAGTTTATAATGAAATTCTAGTAGTTTTTATACTTATAAATAAGATCGATTTGAATCGAATCTTACAGAATCATTTTATATCATAAAAGAAAAATACAATCAATTGATTTAGTTAATTTATTAATAATCTTCCATATGATTCCATCTCATTCTATTTCATTATAAATCAATTTGATAAGAGATATAGCTATATTATAATATAATAATATAATTTTATAATATAAAATCATATTATACTTATATTATTAATACATATATAGCTTGATTAGTAAGATATTAATAAGTGATTTAGTATACTTATTATAGAATCTCACATAAATAGACAGTATATCATCTCGTGCGGCGTAGACGCCAAATGGGCCATTGTCCTACATATGTCCTGATTCTGACCACTTTTCGAGCAGGTCAAAACATAATATTTATAGAAATTCATTTATAGAGATTTATAAATAGAAATGCATTTAAATGGTGTCTTTTCAATTGTTCCTTCTTTCATTACATAAATCATCTCATTGTATACCCTCTCGTTTTCTATTACAACATCCCATTTTCATACAAACACAACTTCTAGATTCAAAATCTATAATCATTCACCTTCACCATCTATCGACTATCCAACAACTTATATCACAGTATTCACGATGTCTGGAGTTTCTGTAACTGATAGCTCACTGTGGTTTGAATGGGACGACGCTACATTGAAACGCAAAGCACATGCCACAGAATCTGATGATGCACAAGATTACGCCGATAGACACGTTGCAAGAGATATACGTGGGGGACGAAAAGAATGGACAAAGGAAGAAGTGATGAAAAAAGCCAATGCTTCAAGATATGATTATGAGAATTATGAGGACAGAGATGTAGCAAAGGCTATAAATAAGAGGGACCGCAACGATGCCAGCAGGGAAGCCCGTGAAAAGGCCGAAACGGCAATGGCAAATTTATCATTAGATGGTCCTTTGAAACGGATTAACGATAAAGGAACTGCATTTAAGGACGCAATATATTATGACGATTCAAAGAGGGGGAAAGAATCACAAAAGCGCAAGCCGAAGATTCCTCTAGTTCCAAGCAGAAGCGGTAGTAAATCTAGAACTGACAACGCGGGAGTACAAGGAAGGGAGGGCCGTGGTAGTGCAAGAGAAAAAGGCAAGCGCGATAGGCCTGCCAGCGCCTCTAGAACCAGGGATTCGTTGAAAAAACCTGCCACGGCTAACTCTTCAAGTTCTACCAAAACTCCCACTGCCAGCTCTTCAAATACCATGAGCGGAACAGAAGCTGAACCCACGACAGACTACCCATACACACGGAACAAGGAAGGTCGTTACATATGCCCAGTAAAGGGCTGTGAAACCAAGAGCTACTCCGAGAGGTCAAGATTTCGAACGCATTACGACACTAAACATACGCGCAGGGCAGAATTATACTATTGCGATCTTGGCCATGAGTGTAGAGAGGAACCATTCGATCGTCACGATTCATACCTCAAACATTTGAGGTCGGACCGGCATCAAAGAAAACAGGCAGACCATGAAAATAAAGTAAACAAAACCAACACTCTTTTCTGAGCTGCCTAAAAACTTAACTTTTTCAAATCATGGCCTTCAGGTCTACTCACTGTTCTGAGATAAGAGCATGTAATCTCGTGCGAACTGGTCTTCAAATGGGCCCTCATACAACATACGTCCTGATGGTGACCACTTTTGAATTAGGTAAACATAATGTGAGGATATGGTTGATTGATATGACGATTGATAGGATGAAAATTTTACACACCACCGCCAACATTCTGGAAAAATTTGAATGAAGAGATTGATCAGAAGGGCTTGTGGAAATGTATTTAAACGGTGTCTTATCGTTCTGTACTTCATTTTATAAATCATTTTACCATATAATCCCTTGATTTTGATTACAGAATCCCATTCCCATAAAAACACAATTTCCAGATTCAAATCTATAACTATCCATCTTTGTCTAATTTCATTTGTCTATCGACTTTCCAACAACTTACATATAGCAAGAGCTGTAAGTATGAGGCACCGAGAGGATAGAGGCACAGAGGCCAGTGAAAATGCTCAAAAGGCAATGGCAAATTTATCGATGAACAATTCTTCGAACCATACTAACGATGGACAAACTGCAAATAATGATCGGAATCAGGGAGTACCACCAAAGGAGAGTCATCATAGTGTAAGACATCAAACAGGCAAGCGCGATCGCGGTCCCAGCGCCCACAGAACCGAAGAATCGTCAAAGAAACCTGCCACTCATTCTACCAAGACTGAAGCTTCCAAGACTAGCTCTTCAAATTCTAGAAAATATCCCACTACCAGCTCTTCGAATACCCCCAAGCCTCTCGCTACCAGTTCTTCAGATTCAAGAAAGCATCCCGCTTCTAGCTCTTCAAAGCCTTCTGAGCGTTTCATTACTACTGCAAATTCTGTAATACACCCTACATTTGGCTCTTTGGGTCTCCCCCCGCCTTCCTCTGGCAGCTATCCAGATACTATAGAATCGCCCGCTGTCAGCTCTTCAAGCTCTCCCAGCCCTTCTCCTATTAGTGCTCCTACACATAATAGACATCCCACTGCCAGCTCTTCAAAGCCCACCAAACCCCACACTACTAGTACTTCTACCGCCAACCCTCCTCCCATCGTTACAGGCTCTTCGAATTCCACCCGCGCATCAGGATCTAAATCCAAGACCGAACAAAAGCTTCACAAACAGGACGCGAACGGAACTTTCTATTGCGAAAAAGGCTGTGTAGATAAACTCTTCATCAATGCGGATAAACTCAAACGACATTACAATAAAGAGCATTCGGAAAATAAGTCAGCATTTACATGCCCACTTGGTAAAGACTGTACAGATATTGTTTTCTCTCGTAAGGACAGTGTGAACAGACATTTTATCTCGAAAACACATATAGACGCCCAGGCAAGACATGATAAAGACAAAAAGAACAAGAAGTAAAGACTGTAAGAATCGGAGTATCACCGTCTTGAGGATCCTAACTATCTAAATCAAGCGAGCACCAAGATCAATTGAAAACGTTGGGTCTCTTTTTAAAGATACCACATTAAAAGATCCCTAGCCATCTTTTCCAATCCAGTTTACTCGAGTAGATTACTAGATGCCCTAGAGCTAAATAGTATCAAACTATCAATGCATTGCAGTATCGGAGTATTAACTATTAAAGTTTTCGGCATTACAAACATAAAAGAAGAGCATATAAACCCTACACACACTATTGAAACCCCCTATACCCTAGAGGTATGCCCCCCAAAAAAGAAGAAGAAGAAGAAAACACTCATTTACCCTCCTCAAGACCCTTTTAATATCAGAGAATCGTGAATATGTGTGTGTACGTGTTGATATTGATAGAATGTACAGAATGGTAAATTGTTATATAATTAGACAAGCTACTCAGACACAGAAAAATCACTCCCACTCCCACCCTTACTCCCAGAAACACCAAAATACCTAGGTAAAACCCCCCAATGAGAAACTTTCGCGCAAGTTCTAGAACATCTCTTTATAGACTATATCACCCACACATATATATAGACATCATCAACCAACTACCCTCTTCTCTCTCCCCTCCAAAGGAAGATAATTCCCTAGTCTCAAACCCCTATCCAAGCTCCCAGCAACAGCAATCAAATAAACAAATGACCAAATAATTCTGTAACTAGATTCCCCCCATAAACCTTGCAAGAAACCCCCACACAAGAATCTACAGACAACTCAGAATCATATCATCATCATCATCATCATCAATTCCAATAATCACTCAACTACCTCTCCTCCCCCTTCCCTCCACTCTACTCCACTCCAATCCCTTTCTAACTCCCTCTCTCGCTTAACCACAAACACAAAATCTTATCTTCTCTTTTTTCCTCACCGTATGTCATCCCAATCCACCACTGCCATTTTCCCCCCACTCCCCTCATTCCCCATCTCCCACTCCTTCTTTCACCCTCTTCTATTACCCACCCCCCAGATAAAAAGAAGAGGGGAAAGGAGAAAAAAAGAAAAAAAGAAAAAAGAAACAAAACATCCATCCCCAAACCTTCTCACTCCCTCGCTTAACAACAAATCCAAAATCATCACCTTCTATTCCATCCTATGTTATCGCCCCCTCTAACTTCATCCTCAATTATCCCATCTTATTTCCCCAGCCCTCCTATCTTTTCCCACTAACTCCTCAATTTCCCATCGCCACCCCCCATCTTTTCTGCCCACCAATCCACAACAAAAAGAGAAGAAAAGAAAAGGAAAGAAAAGGAAAGAAAGAAAGAAAGAAAGAAAGAAGAGCCCCCCTCACCCAGAAAACCATCCCTTTCTCCCCCAACCCCACCGAATCCCCCCATCCCAAGCTCAACCCTGCAAGTCCCAAATCCAACTCTCCTAACAACCCTCCGTATCCCAAATCCAATCCCACAAAATTCAAACCCCAACCTTCAAATCCCCAGTTCCAATCCTCCCAATTCCAATACCCACACACAGACAAAACCAATCTCCAAACCCCCAAGATTTCCAAAAACCAACAGCCCCCTTCCTCCCGAAAAATCCAATTTCGATCCATCTCTCCACTTCCCTCGAATATCCATCTCCTCATACTCATACCATTATACCACCATCCAAATTTAGAATGCCACTCCCTGTACTCTCGACTTATACTTATACTTATACTTATACTTATAAGATTTGATGTCGATATATACTTATATACTATATATGTATGTATTTGTCTATCATATCAGAAAGACGAGATCTGCGGACTTCAACTCTGAATTCCAAGTTCCAAGTCCTGAATGCCAAAGCCCAAAACCTAAAACCTCAACCCCCAAACCTAAGACAATTACTCCACACCTTCGACTCCAGACTTTTCATTCTGTTCACTCACACCAAAAACTCCGAAATGACTTTCGTAGATAGCCATGTTATTAATGGTACTGTCATTAAACCCATATCATACATTTTAGTTTACCCCATTTTCTCCCTTTCTCCGTTCCTCCGTTCCTCCTTTCCTACTCCCCTCCCAACATTTAGGAACACCCAACCCTGCTCATCTCAACACCACCTCCTAAATTTCCAACCTCCTCACCCCCAACCCAAAATCTACAACCCACTATTCTGACTCGTTCCATTCCTAAAAGCACAACAATCAGCAAATCACTCACCCCAAATCCGTGCATTCCCAAAATACAAAAAAATCTCACATAAACAATACTTCAAGAACTCGCTCGCTCGCTACAAAGGACCATCTCACTTATGTTTCTCTTCGGCATGTCCCTCTGTCTTCTTTTGTAATTCCTTGATTCCTTCTGCGGAATGATCATCATGTTCGTGGCGATCTGCTACTACCTGTATTTTGTTGTGTTAGCAAGTTTTCATTTATGATAATGATTTTGTATGAGGTAGGATTAAGTATAAAAAGGAAAATGTATAAGAAAACGCCAATAATTAAATCCAAATGAATTTCAAGGTTGAGGAGGAAAAGTAAGACAGGTGAAACTACCCCGTCACCCAGTCTCAATCTATCAATCTCTCCATTTTCGACATTCTCCCCCTCCTTGTATCCACCCTCCCTCTTCACACCTTTACAGAAGTAATCACATTCTCCTCCCACATTTCAATTTCTCAAAGTCTCCAACCCACGAGATGAAAGAGAGAAACTATGTGGTGTATGCCCATCCATAGGTATCATTTCTTTTGAGACCATCTTCTCTTTCTCTTTTTTTACAACCCTTGATCTCGTCGCCAAGATTTTCCTTCCATCTCGAACCTTCCGAACACTAATTAATTGCCCAAGAAATTCAGACCGAAAGATTAAATCCCGTATAACTTCCATACATGCGAGACTTCTCTTGAGCTACTTTCTCTTTGCACATATTGAAGCCCAATCATACAACCATATGAATGTAAAATAATGCAAGACCGAAGATAACCTACAGCTTCTTCACTATCACTAGCCAATTCTGGTTTCCAGTGATTCTTTCCCTCCTTTTGCTTGGCCAATTGATCTTGCTTGTGACGTTCGTAATCGGCAGCTTTATCTGGGGTATCTATATATTTATGCAATGAATTAGTATTTCTTATTTTTGAATTGGTTTGATGACTTTGGACGGAGATGAAAAAGGTGGATGAAAACGTTATTCTCAGAGAGAGGCATGAAGAGGTGAAAAGAACTCAGGGACAGCAAATCCATTCCAGAAATCGTACACCAGCGTCCTCGTATCTCGCACTCAACCATTTCACCCCAACCCCTCCAGACATATGAAAATCCAACAAGATGGCAAAAGTAACTCCTCATACAATTCCTCATACAATTTCCAGACATTCCATTCCATCCAATTCCATTTCACCGCATCAAATTTCGCAGAAGCATAACAAAAAGAAAATAACTCACGTCTATCACTCTCTTTCAAAGCTCGCATGCTCGAGATGGCAAATGTACGTTTGGCGGGAAAAGCGATGGAGACTGGACGAGCAGCTCGGATTGATTGACGGAGGATGAAAGACATTTTTGTGTTTGGTGTTGGTTGAGATAGATGTGAATGTGAATGTGAATGTGGTTGTTTTGTTTCTAATTGAGAGGGGTTAGTTGATTGATTCTTTTCTTCTTCTCTTTTTCTCTTCTTCTCTTCTTCTCTTCTCCTCTTCTTCTTCTTCTCCTGTACTCTACAATCAAGAATCCAACGAAAAAGACATATAAAACATCAATTCATCTCATCAAACTGGACAGTTTACTTACAATGTACCTAAATAATCGTTCCTACTAACAAATCGCAAATCCGAATCTCAATTGAAAATCTCAATATGAATAGAAACATCCAACAGACAGAAGAGAAGAAACAACAGCAACGATCATAACAATCTCCCCTCCCCTCTCTAGCTCCCCAATCGCACTAGTCCCAAAACCAGTCTACCTCATACCTCATACCTCATATCATACCTCACCATCATACCCCACCATCATACCCAAGTAATCTCTCCCACTCCATTGGTCTCTCCCTCTCAACTCCAAATCCTCAATCGAGAAAACCTGCTCCTAGACATGACACGCTACCTACCACTCAATCGCAATTCGAAGCTTGGTGGTTGGTGGTGGGGAAGTTAAAGATGTGGGACATGATGACGTCAATGATTTATTGGTAGTAATGGTAACCTTATATCACAGCCATAAAGTTATACAATATGGACTCAGATCAGCATCAGCATCAGCATCAGCACAGCATCATAATTACACAAACCCATCTTGAGCCCGGGAACCATCTATCTTGTTATCCTCGGTATATACCGGTGTGTATATTAAGGTTAATATCCGTATTTTTACCGATGAATGAATTCTTGAGATCTGGTTTTTAAGCCTTAGTTATTGATACTACTGTATTAGTTAATCTTACATAATTACGATACAGTATTGGTAATTCAGGGGCTGCAGTCTCTAAACATTCAAACATTCAAGTTCAAGCCCAAAGTATAAAACTTCATACAAAGCACATACTTGCGTTTCTCGGACTTCTTGGTTAGGTCTGTGATGTGGTTTCAAAATTTATGATTATCTATACGTAACATACGAATAGAAATTCGCAATGTTATTAAAACTCATTATCGAAAATCTTAATGCAGTTTTAGCCTCTTTGTTTATACTTGACTATAATCAAACTCTTTTCAGAGTCATCACTGAGTATATACTTCATACCGGTACTACATACATTCCTGTCTACTCATACTCATATTTACAGTAGATAAATACCTATTTCGATAATCTACTCACAATCCTCAAAGTCCTAAGAACCTTTGAAATTAAATATCCTTCCTTCTCCTTCCTTCCTTGCTTTCTTCCGTCTTTCTTCCTCATCTAGATATACACCTAAAACTCATCCACCACACTCACTACAATAAATATTTTAAACAATACTAATGTATATACTATCGCCAACTCAAGATTCCTTTCCTTCGAT